ACCTATTCTTTCCTCCCATGAACCACCAAGGAGATGTCAATACAGAGAATGGATAGACACCAGAAGGGTCCTAACTCCACCTAGCCGTGTTGTGCAGCTTGAACTACCAGAGCAATACAGGGTTACTAAAGCGCGGTTTGAGAGAGGAGAGGGATCCTCACGTAGGGGTTAGCTATTATCGGACAACTTGGCATATTGAAATTTCTACTGTCATGCTTCCTTGTCCCATTACTACATCGTCGTTGTGTTCAACTATTGCACTACCTCCCTCCTAGTTCGAATCTAATATCATCTATGTAACCGCAATGTAAATAGTTGTATCATGTTCAAATTGTACTACTATTTCTTCATGTTACATAATTCTCCTTGTTTAAGTCCATATAATGTTTCTACGACCCAGACTGCGATAGGCCTATATAAATTATCCGAGTACTAATACGTCGAATAAGGTACAAAATAATACCTCACTTAACATATGAAATTGCGCAACAACCAACTTCAATACATTTTTATAACAATATTAACAAGTTTTACCAATAAATACTTCTTTATTTATTATTAACATAACATAGAAAAATCTTTTGGCCGTACTTTTTTCATCTGGGTCCCTTGCCGCCCCAATAGAGGGCGGCAAGGGACCCAGATGAAAAAAGTACGGCCGCAAGCTCTTTATGGGCGGCCAAAATTGCAATTAGCCCCTTGCCGCCCTCTGTACGGGCGGCAAGGGCCTAATCGCAATTTTGGCCGACGGCGGCAGACGGCGCGGTCGACCCACCGTCTACCACGTCAGATTGCCGCCCACCATTAGGGCGACAGGGGCTATTTCTGCAATTTTTTTGGTCCATAGATTATTTCTGTAAATATTAAAAAAAAATCTAAAAACGAAAAAAGTTCGATTTGACGACGTGTATGTTCGGCGAAATCTTTGGGCCTGGGATTGCCCTTATCAAAATTTGCCTAACCAACCAAACATCTCTATTACTCCCTCCGTTTTGAAATGTTTGACACCGTTAACTTTTTAAGTACATATTTGACCATTCGTCTTATTCAAAAACTTTTGTGAAATATGTAAAATTATATGCCTACATAAAAATATATTTAACAATGAATCAAATGATAGAAAAAGAATTAATAATTACTTAAATTTTTTTTAATAAGACGAACGGTCAAACATGTGTTAAAAAGTCACGGCGTCAAACATTTCGAAACGGAGGGAGTAGAACACAACTTTAACATGAACTAGCTGGGTGGCCCGCGCAATTGCGCGGCTAGCAAAAAAATCATATATTTTTTAAGTATGATTTTACTTAGAATTAATTAAATAGCTATCTCATTGTTAAGATTTTGAAAAACCAAACCTTATCATCCTCATGTTTCTAATTATATAGTTTTTAAAAATTTGCTATCCCTTATGTCATCTCCTTTTTTATTTGCTTGCTCGATCTATCACTATTTCTATTCATTCTTCTTGGAACATTTAAAAATTGGATTTTCTAGTTTTTAGAGTTTATTATCACATTGGGTTTCGTTTTTATAATTTCTAGATGTCCCGTCAAACATTGCCATTATGCTCCTCTATGCCCATCCACTATCTCTTCTCTTTATTGTCATTGAGATTTTAATAAGTCAAACATAATTATCGTTTGGGTTCATTTTTACTTTCTAGAAGTCCCGCCAAACTGTCAGCGGTTTTGCCATTGTACTCCTCTACGGCTCGCTCGCTGCCTCCCTTCTTTATTGTCATTGAGACTTTAAAATCGGACATGATTATCATTGGTTTTTTTTTTACTTTTTAGAATTTTCGAACCTTCAAAAATTAGACTTGTAGTTTCATTTTTTATAATTTTTAGAAGTCCTAGCAAACGATGCCACTATGCCCCTCTACAGACCGTCCGCCGCCTATTCTTTATTATCATTGTGATTCTAAAAATCAAACATAACTATTGTTGTAATTCATTTTTTATTTTCTAGAAGTCCCGTCAACCATCGGCGGCTTTGCAACTATACTCTTATACACCCTGCCCGCTGCTTCTCCTTTTTATTGTCATTGAGATTTTAAAATTTGAATATGATTATCAATGTGTTTTTTTTTTACTTTCTAGAAGTCCCGGCAACCGCCTTACTTGTTTGCTTCACGGCATGCCCGACGTCCCTCCTTTTAATCGTCATTAGGATTCTATTTGGTGTTTTATTAACAATTTTTATATGACGTATCAACCGCCACCAACTCTACTCCTTTATAGGCATGTTACTTAATTTATCTCGTCACGTGTTTTAGATGGTCTTTTCTTTCAATAGTCTTTATTTTTATCAAAAAATTAGTTATTTATAAATTTTATTCCTAATTGAAATCTTTTTTTTCTAATTTCAGAATTTATTTTTTTTAAAAAAAATTAGTTAATACCGTATTGTGTTCTTTTAATGTTTTTATTTTTTTATTTTCAACTTCAGTTGTTTCAAAATTGTATTCCTACTTGAACTCTCTTTTAATTTTTCTAATTTTGGATATTATTATATTTTTTATTCAAAATTTTAATTAATCTCGTATTGGGTTCTTATATAGATTCTTGTTTCAATATTGCTTATTTTTAATTATGAATTTTAGCTATTTTTAAATTGTATTCCTACTTTGAACTCTTCTTTATTTTCTTTTGCTAATTTCGGATTTATTTTTATTTTTATTCTGATTTTTAATTAATCTTATATTGGGTTCTTATATGGACTCTTCTTTTAATATTTCTTATTTTTAATTCCGAATTTCAGCTATTTTTAAATTGTATTCCTACTTGGACTCTCCTTTCCTTTTCTAATTTTGGATTTTATTTTATTTTATTTCAAAATTTGATTAATCTTGTATTTGGTTCTTATATGGAAACTTCTTTCAATATTGCTTATTTTTAATTCCTAGTTTCAGCTATTTTTAAATTGTACTTCTACTTGGACTCTCCTTTTCTTTTCTAATTTTGGATTTTATTTTATTTCGAGTTTTGATTAATCTCGTATTGGGTTCATACATGGAAACTTCTTTCAATATCTCTTATTTTAATTCCGAATTTTAGCTAATTTAAATTGTACTTCTACTTCGACTCTCCTTTTCTTTTCTTTTTCTTTTTCTCCGATTAATGTGGAAATTTCTAGCCCAAACAGTGAACATGGTGCCTCCTTTCAGAGCTGTTTTAATAATATAATAGATAGATTTAGCTTTGCCTGTAAACTTGTGTCTTATAAGCATAGTTTGACTTCAATCCAAATCAATATTTTCAACTATAGCATACTAAAATTTTGTTGGTGCTAAAACTCTACCAAATATTTAGTTTAATCCAAATAGTCCCTTTAATCCACGAACTATCGTGGTTAGGTCAACCAAATTATCTCCTTAAACTAAAATACCAAACATTTTACAACATGAACTATTCATACTAGACAAATAATCCTCTTAGCATTGTTTTAGTCGGTTTTAAATTGAGCTTGCACACATGACATCAGTGTGGCAATCCAACCAACAAAGAATTTTCTCTTCCTATGTCCAATCACATCCCTAGTCCCCTGCTCTCTCTCTCTCTCTATCTCTCTCATGCTGGAGATTGGAGAAGGTGGACAATGGTGGAAGATATTGATGCAAAGCTCACGGCGATGGCGAACTTGCGAGCCTCCGCATGGCTTCAGCTTGGTTGGGCAACACCATCCTCGTCGTAGAGCGAGTGGCCTCCAGACCTATGGTCGCGTGCTCCACTGCTCTAGCTTGACAGCAAGGTTAGAGGAGAGCCTGCAACGGAGCTCAAACTTCATTGGGGAGGTGTTGGCGGCGGAGTCAAGCTCTTTGTGGGAAGGATAGCTGAGCTCAAGCTCTCTAGGCATTATCTCCTGGAGCTCGATTGGGTGGAAAAGGCCGCAGGCGGCGGCGGAGTCGAGCTCTTTGTGCGAAGGGCAGCTGAGCTCGAGCTCTCTAGGCATTATCTCCTAGAGCTCGATTTGGTGGAAAAGGCCACAGGCGGTGGCGAGCATCAGTGCACGTGGTGGCGAAGATGTTCGAAGAGTATTTTGGTTGCGGAGCTTGGCGAGATGTGCAGCTGCGTCCGTGTGAGTGGTGGTGGAGATGATGCGACCGTCGGGGTCCATATATGAGACTTGTGCTTTTATCCGGATGTGCGGCATCTTCGTTGTCTCCCTCGCTATCACTGTCATATTCCCATCCTCCTCTTCCTCCCCCGTGTATCCTCCCTCTCCCATGGAGACCAGTGGCCAAACGTGGCGTGGACGCAGCAAGCGACGGTGCGACGTATGGTGGTGGTCGCCACCGGGGACGAGTTCCTAGTGAGGACGGGATTCTCGACCCCAAGTTGGTTTCGAGCTCTACATCCATGTGCCTCCACTCTGCCTCGGGTTGCTGCCTCCTCGATCCGCCTTGCCCAAGCGGTCTCCGCCTTTGCCCTCCTTCTCTAGCCATAGGTGTAGAGAGAGAAGAGGGGAAACTAGGGATAGATTGGCTTAGGGGCGGGTGGGTCTAGAGATTTTTTTTATTTGTTAATTGGATTGTCACGTTTGGCGTCACGTGTGTAAGCTCGAGCAAAAACCACCCAAAACAATGCTCAAGGAGTTTATTTGTCCAATATTAATAGTTTATGGTGTAAATTATCTAGTATTCCAGACCATGAAGTAATTCAATCGAGCGCAATCGTTAACAGTAATTCTTTTTTGCTACGAACAAATTCTTCACGCAGGTGCAGTAAAGATGAGTTAAGCACACGTAATTATAGAGATTTCCCCGCAAAAAAAATATAGAGATTTATTAACATAACAGCCTATCCACGTGGGTCCAACTGTCAGTGTGTGTGTGTCACGCGTTCTTCTGACTTCTGACTGAGTGCTGCGCCCACCGATCCGCCCAATTTGGCCCCACCTCGCAGTGACCAGGGGAAGAAAAGTTCGGTCAGATCCCACGTGTACGCTTAGCAAATTCACAAATCCCAACCTCCCCGATACATACGGGTCTCCTTCCCACGAGGCCACCAGCAACCGAAATCCCCTCCTGACCTCCTTCCTCCTCTCTCCCCGATTCCCCCCACCCACCCACCAAGCGCGTCGGAAGCGATGGCGTCGGCGGCGGAGATGCAGCCGCTGGCCCCGGCGGGCTACCGCCGGGCGCCGGAGATGAAGGAGAAGGTGGACGCCTCCGCGGTGGACCTGGAGGCCGGCACCGGGGAGACGCTGTACCCGGGGATCTCGCGCGGGGAGAGCGCCCTCCGGTGGGGGTTCGTCCGCAAGGTGTACGGCATCCTCGCCGCGCAGCTGCTCCTCACCACCGCCGTCTCCGCGCTCACCGTCCTCCACCCCACCCTCAACGCCACGCTCTCCTCCTCCCCGACCCTCGCCCTCGTGCTCGCCGTCCTCCCCTTCGTCCGTACGTGTGCCCTCCTCCCCATCTGATGATGCTTCGGTTGACCTCTATCTTAGATTTCTTGTGCTTGATGAGAAATTGAGAATGGTTTTATTCTGTGATCGGTCGTAGATTCATCCGCGTCCCGCTGATTAGCAGCTGGTTTGATTTGTAGGCTACATAGTTGAATCTAGATAGATCGGTGCGTTACTATATGCCTTGCTGTTGGAATCAAAACTTTGGCCTCTAGATCTAGGATCTAATTAGTTCACGAATTAATACTTAGAATTAGACGTAGTAAGTTCTGCATCATGGATTTGCCCACTCGCATTCTGAATTGGGATGTGAAGTAAATGTTTGTGTTATATTATAAACTAATGCTGCAATTGCTTTTCCTATAAATTGTGAATAGCATTTCTATAGATCATGTTCAGCGACGAGTTTATGACAAACTAGTTAATGCAAACGCTGTCGGAAAATTTTGTTACAAATGTTATGAGACCTTAAATGATATGATTCATATGCATTTTGGTTTGGCCTTATTTGTTTCCCTTGACATCATATGATGCGTTTGTGTTAGTCAAGTGCGGAGTGTGATGATATGGGCATGGTGGGGCTGTCTTTAGAAGTGTAGAACTCTTCTGAACACTTGTGTATCCAGATTATTTTTTTTTCTTTCAATTCTGAAATTTCTGCTTTGTGTTTGCCATAGACAAGATTGTTTTATCCCCTAGTTGGATCAAGTAGGCAGCACACATAACTGTGTAAGAGATAGTCAATGTATTTAGTCCGGTATGAGTTATATTTTAATAGTATATGGAAAAATATCAAGGAAAGTCTCAAATCTTGGATCAGTGGGGCTGTTTTTTTTTACTCCCTGCTTTTTGTTCATGTTAGTGTTGCGAGTAACTAAACTTCTTCATCTGAATTTTGAGAAAAGCCTGAGTAGATGACATTGTTAATTGTTTGGTAGGATGGAATGGTTTTGGTGCTCTCAGCTAATTTTGTGTTATTTCTTGCAGTGATGGTCCCATTGTATCATTATCAGCACAAACACCCACACAACTTTGTTTACCTGGGTCTGTTCACGTTGTGCTTGAGTTTCAGTATTGGTGTGGCATGTGCTAACACTCAAGGTTGGTTTTCTTTCCTTTGCAAGTTTTAGTTAGTTTCTTCAACTGCCAACTGTACTTTTTACATAACAATCATTTGTGTGCTGCAGGGAAAATTGTGCTTGAGGCATTAATATTGACCTCAGCTGTGGTTGCCTCTTTGACTGCGTATACTTTCTGGGCTTCAAAGAAGGGGAAAGAATTTGGTTATCTTGGACCAATTCTGTTTTCTGCTCTTGTTTTACTTGTTGTGATAAGCTTTATTCAGGCAAGTGTACACTCATTTTGATACAATATACTTAATTCAAATAGCGATCTTACCATTACGAAACCACCAATTGTAATAAGCACTTTGCCGTGATATGCTGTGTTGCAGGTGTTCTTCCCATTGGGCTCTGGACCAGTTGCATTGTTTGGTGGCCTTGGAGCTTTAGTTTTCTCAGGTTTCATCATCTACGACACAGAGAACTTGATAAAGCGCCACACTTATGACGACTACATTTGGGCCTCTGTTGAGCTCTACCTTGACATCCTCAACTTGTTCCTTTATATCCTGAACATGATCAGGAGCATGCAAAGTGATAACTAGCCAGTCCATCAGCACCAACCAGACGTATTGTCAACTTGCTCAGTGACGTCAGTGTGTCCTGCTCTATTAAGTACTATTTTGAACAGCGATCTATATAACCGTGAAAACCTCGTGATGTATTTTGCTGTCGTCTGACTCAAAGGATGAGACCGAAGTACAATATATGTATAGTTTTGGTTGTGTTGAGTATGACTGTCGGAAATGTGATCCCATGATTGTGACGTGGTGCCAATAATTTTTACCCTGCGATGTTCGTGAATGGTTTTTTTTTTCGTCTTCTGCAAGTAGAGGTTTTGGTTCGTAATTAGGCTCTGAATGAGCCCATCTTCTCCTCAGTTAGTGGTGGAGACAGGAGATCAGCAGGCAAGCATGTACATCGACGGTAGGATACTGAAGTTCACTAATGTTTCTGATCTTCGTTACAGAACAATCTTTCAGAAGAAGGGATATTTTATTAACCACTACTCTTGATCTTGTTTGTTGGCAACAGATTACTTCGCTCGAGCTCTAGTGTACAGAAACTATACCAGCATGCTCTTTTTCTCTGAAATTTGAATGAAAAGAACCACAAACGCCAGTAATATTGGGATTTGAACATCCGAACAGCAAATCAAATTGTACAGAGGAATGAATCTCAGGTATATGTGCGAAAATTTTGCACAAATTTTCAGCCATATATAAGCAAACCGGATGTAAAGCTGCAGCCGGCGTAGAAGTAGAACACAGCAGAGGCCAGCAGGGAACTCGTGGGATGTGGCTGCAGCCTGCAGCGGTGGCCGGTTAAGTTGACGGGCCGCAGCGGTGGAGTGCACGTCTACCACAATTCATTTCTGGGCCATATAAATGTTGGATGCCTGTAGGTGTAGACGTAAAACACGAGGCATGAGAGATCTGCTTAACTCCAGTACAGGTCCAAAACTCGCCTTCGGGTATGCTAGCGTGCCAGTTGATTTGATTCCGTAATTAACAAGAAATAAAAACAAATAAACCGCGGTTAAACCTATAAACGATAGCAAATCGGCTAGGTGCCGATGACATATCATTTATCTTTGAGCCGATGTCATATGTAAATCGATCGGCGGTTGTAAATAGATAATAAAGAACTAAATCTACTCGATCGGTTGTAGATATTGGCAATATATAATTCTTATATCGATATATACTTAAATCAAGTGATTGAGATAGATCGGTCGCCATGCCGAGACAGTATAAATCACTTAGATCGAAATATATATTAATAACATGATTATATATGTTCATAGCATAGCCGATCAGATAGATCTAGCATGTATCGGCTAATACTCCGATACAACTCTATATTACGATGTTAAAACAGAAGCTGAATATACTTAGATGCAATAATATCTTAACATAAAGGGCATATTTAACGGGTCAATGAAGCGCATAGAGCAAATATAGTTAAATCAGATAAGATCGGCTGCCCTCTACCGATAGATGTTAGCCGATTGTAGGTTAGATAGCGATATTGCCAAAGATTATGTAAGATATATGATAACTCGACGAATTACATAAACAAGATTAGAGTATCATAAAGATGGAAGCGCTAATCCCGAGAACGCAAACCGTCATGACAATTTTTACCTCTTGTTGAAGATCGAAACCGATGCAGCTCAACCCGAAAGCAAGAACTCGTCGAAATAAAACTAAAGCAAAAGGGTGGCGATGCGCCGAAATTGTATTGAACGTGTGTGTTAATTGATTACATGAGGTTCGGGGTCTATTTATACCCGAAAATTACAAACTATATTCATATCGGACACGATTATTATCTCTAACAATCTCTAAGATACCACAAGCCTTTGCGGCAGACTTTTACCCAAACATATCTCTAAGGAATTTACATAAAATATCCTAATTAATAGATACAATTGCCTTCTCAGGACTCTATCCATGCACGGCAATCATCTTGAAGCATATCAACCCAACCCGATGTTGTACACCAAGTCGTATTGTCGGAATCAGCTGTATCGGCTCACCTAGTTTAACTCGGACACAGCCGATCCTGACTGTAGCCGATCTGGACTCCAGCCGATTCTTGCTCTGTTCTCAGATCGATCTTCGCCTTCGACTCCACTTTGATCCAATCCTCCTTTCCGATGATGATATTACCAAATTTGGTCGTTAACAGTAGGCCACAATCTCATTCCGGCCCATAAATTATGCCCTTCGACCTTGTTCAATAGAGGAATTGAATGGGATTGAAGGACAATAATTTCTCACCACAATCCTCGCAGACACTCACGGGGGATTAAGGAAAATTTAAAGGGATTTATTTCACACGTATAGAATTATTCCCTATCAATACCCTCCAATTTCTTTCTCCTGGGGATTAAACAAAGGAAAAAGTACACCAAAGGTCTCTCAACTTGTCACCTAGTTACAAAATTGTTCTTGAACTGAAAAACCGGATATAACATATTCCCCAACTTACAAAACCAGTGCAAACTAGGTCCTTTGGCTGTTTTGACTCCGGTTTTATCCAACGTGGCAGTTGACTCAGCGTGGGGCCCACGTGGGCTCCATACGTCAGCCTCTCCTCCTCTCTTCCTCTCTCCTCTCCTCTCTCTCCTCTCCATGGGCGGGACGGGGGAGTAGCTGGGCACGGCAGGCAGGTGCGGTGGGCGTGGGCGGCGACCTTCGATGTAACTCGAGTCCGGGAGCCACCACCACCACCAGCTCGCCACCCACCCATCCATGGCGAACCCAAGGATAGCCATCGCGCTATGGCCCCCGCTGTTGTGTCGTCGTCATCGCTGTTGTCGTCGCTGTTGCGCTTCCTAAAGCGGCCGACGTCGCTCCCCTTCCTGCTCCCCCTCTTCGTGTTCCTCACCTAGATCTGCCGGCCCTTCTCCCCATGCGCCGTTGTAGAGAAGATGGGGACGGCTGGTCTAGCTCGGTGACGCCTGCGCCCGCGCGCCCATGCACACCGGCCTGCCGGGCCTTTTCCCCGTGTGCCGTCGTCGAGAAAATGGCGACGGCCGGTTGAGCTGGTGGCACCACCGCGGTCGCCTCCTCCCATCCTACTGCTGGTCGTCGTGGCGCGCTGCCAGGATGCCAGTGGCGGTGGACGTCTCGTGGTGGCCAGGCAACGGCCCCGGCCTCCGCCGCTCAGCGATGTCCGTCGTTGACGCCGCGCACCCCATCACAGCCGACGAAGGGGAGGGACGACGGCGAGCGGGGGACGACGTTGCCCACGAAACCCCAGGTTTTCCCCGCCTGTCACCGACCGCAGACGATGCCCTTTTCCTTCTTCCGCCTCTCGGGCCGCTCCAACCCCGAGCTCGCACACGCGGCGATGTCACCACCTTCTCCGGCGTCGTCGTTGCCGCCACTCCGGCCGCCGCCGCTGCGTTGCCGGCTGCCGACGCCCTCCTCTTCTCCTGCCTCGGCCCACCCCGCCAGCCTCCTCCCCACCTGCCGCCAGCCTACACAGAGAAGACTGAGTTAGAGAGGAGGAAGGGAGAGGAGGGGAAATAGAGGGTGATGATGTGGTTACACCGATATATGGGTCCTACGCTGACTCAGCTGTCACGTCGGATAAAACCAGAGCCAAAACCACCTAGGGACCCAGAGTTATCCGGTTTTGATAGTTGAGGGATGACTTATATCCGGTTGGTTGAGGGACGATTTTGTAATCCGATGACAGGGACCTCATACGTACTTTTTCGTTAAACAAACAAGGCCTTAACATGTCCCAATCCCGTTCTGGTCCATAAATACAAGAGTGACCGGTCCGGTCCATCCAGTATGGGCCACACGTTCGCTGTAATACCTTTCCAGCCCATGATGGATGGGCCTCACGTAACACGTTCTAGCAGCCCACAAGTTACGGGCCGCACGTATGAGCGACAACCGCGTTTCCGCAAGATCGAGCAGAGCTGCAGAGGAAGCCAAACGTTTTATCTTCTTGGCTACCGATGCATCATGCATCATCCTACTATCCTAGTTCTAAGAGCAAGTATAATAGAATAGTCCACTACTAACTCCAATTCATTTATAGCCGATCTAATAGTTAATTCATATAATAGTTGCTTACTATACTATTAATATATGGTCTCACCTGTCATACATACATTGCGTCTTAAAGTCTATACTGTAGCTAGCTATAGATCTGTAGCTCGCTACTCTTCTTTCTTATATTTTATCTCATTAAAATATATTTTTAGCTGGTTAATAGTGTGCTATTGTACTTGCTCTAACTAGTTTAGGATCGCCTTAACTTTGGTATTACTGAGTACGTTGAACCACAAAATCCCGAAAGAACATGCTACTCCGGTAGTACTAATGAACTGGAATATCTTGCCACGCCTTGCCACCCTAACTCAGAATGCAAGAACTTCACATAAATTTTACAAAGGTGTGTTTAGTTCATGTCAAAATTAAAAGTTTAATAAAAAAAAAGTTGAAAACTAAACCAGGCTTTAATCTTAAATACGCACTCCGTCCATAGACCATAGAACAATTTTCCGCACCTTTAAACTTTCATCCTTTTCCATTCCGTTACCTCGAGAAGCCAACACCGACCCCGCGGCCCCGTCCATCCCCTTGGGAAATTGCACGCGAATGATTGCGCCGGAGCCTCTCTTTTCCCCGTGAGCGATCCAGCGCCGGTCTTTTCCGCGGCCGCGGGCCCCGTGCTCCCCGCGGCAGCAAAAGGCGCACACACACGCAAAAAAAAAAAAAAAGCGGCATCACACCACCGTGCGCTCGCGCGGGCGGACACGAATCAGCCGTCACGTCGCCTCGTGCCGGCGATTCCCAGCCATCCGCGCAAAGCGAGAGCACGAACGATCGCGCCGGCGCCCTTTTTTTTCCCCTCCCGAGACAGCGGCTGTTTGCTGGGCAAGTACTGTGCGTGCACGCTGCACGCTGTTCGACTCACATGAAACCCAAGTTGCCGATGGTCGATGGGCGAGCAGACAAGCAGGTTCCGCGAGCAAAACTGAGAAGCCACGATAAGAATTCGATCTACCGGCGGGAGCGTTGGGTAAATAGTGCCAGCCATTTTTGATCAGGAATGATGACGTTGTGCTCATATTCTTCATCGGTACTCTCTCCGCCTCCATAATATAAGAGATTTTAGAGGGATGTGACAAATTCCTTATATTATGAGACGCAGGGAGTAACGAAGAAAAAGTAGCAGAGATAAATTCATATGCATCGTTCTTATGATAGAGAGAACCTTATGTTACTCTACTGGAAAGTTAGAGAGCACTAAGGCCATGGCCAACGCTCCAT